CTATCCACATTCTAAATGTTGGCAATAATTTGAACACCAAGGGGACCTCTCTTTAAGGCATTTCTTTTTGTACTTTTGTTAACATTGAACGCTACACGTTCTCATTTGTCAATGTGTTGGTCACTGGCATGAGAAAAAAATATTATTAGGTTTTCGAATATAAAGGTATTAAATCATTCAAGATTCATTCAAGAGAAATTTCTTACCATATATTGATTTTCGACTGATTGTATATAGTAATTATGTAATTACTATAATACAATATAATTATTACATGTACATTATTTCATTCGCACTGTTCGGACATGAAATATTCAGACATTAAATTACAAGTAAAGTTTTGACATATTGCGTCTTTTTTACCTCATATAAGATATAAAGAATATATAGGAAAAAATGCGAGTAAATATCAGGAAAATGCACACATTTAATTCTAAATGATAATAGATATACAAGAGTACGCTTTTTCGCTTGGAAAATTAATTTTCATGACGTGATTTGAAAATTGAAATGGCAAAATAAAACAGTTAACATATTTTTCTATCAACAGCAACTATAGAACAAGCTGTTTACATGCAAGCGCACGATCCTGTGAAGATCAAAGCGTTTAGCATATCCTAGTCGATTTTCAACATGGCAATGACATAAAGAACGTAAATCTTAAGCCTGATCTCGTAACAATTAATGCACACATAAACATTATTAACATTTTAAGTGTATATGAAAACGCATTTCGTGAAAAAGTAAGGTTTCAAATATCTTCTTTCGTTTTCTCAAATTCCTACTGATATCTTTTTCAACAATAACTTAATTGTAATATTAGCATGCTACAATCAAAATATAAATTGCAAAACATTTTATAAACGAATTGTGCACGACATTCTATCAAAATGTTCTTTTGTTTTTAAAATTTATTAATCATTAAGTAATCATGTTGACATGTAATGATACCTTGCAAAACTGTTCCCAGGGTTCACGTAGGGTTAAATAAAATATGAAAATCGAAGAAAAAAGACACTTACATTATAAGTTGAAGCAATTTTGTACAGATTCATTTCAAAAAGACTAAAATGTGTGTACCGTATATTTTAAAATAGCAGTGTGTTCCGTACCATTTCAACATATCTTTACGAAAATATGCGAAAACATCACTGTATTCACTAGATACATTGGACATTGTAAATCTTTTAGATTAAGCATTCATTTTTCTAAAAGAACGGACGACTTGCTAGAAATCGATTGTTGTGATAAATGAGTGTGTACTGTTCCCGTCAGCACCGGCTATGAAAATAAATCTGTACTCGTATGTTCTCAAAAAGCATTCAATAGTTTTCAAAATTTTGATTTACCGTGGGTATAAGTCTGATTTTATTGACCTGTCAATTATGAATACATTATAGCACAAATTTAAATATTAGATCTCACTTCGGTTATGTCCGTGTAGTTTACGAGAATTAATATGGAGTATAAAATTTATGTTTTAAAGGTCACGCCGGCTTAATGTAATGACCGTCGTTACATCCGCAATAGCACAGTCGGTTAAGTGGTTGCCTGATATATGGGAGGTTTGTGGTTCGATCCCTACTGTTGCCATTGTTTTAGGCCTACTCTTTATTTTTTTCAGAATATTTTACTGGAAATGGCCGAGTTAGCATAATTGTCTACACGGATATGCATAATTCATAATTCCGTCTACACGGAAGCTGCTTAGAAACTGTTTTGTTTTGTATTTTACGGTATTAAAATGACACATACTGATTTTAATCTGAATGGATTTTAAATAATAATTCTTACATGAATTTATTTTAAAAGAGTATACTTTACCAAAATAAGCGCAAAACATATTAAAACAAAAAGAACAACATAAAAAGTCAATCATAGCTTCGATAATGATGAAAATATAAATAAGAAAAAAAGCAAGGACCTTCACAGTCTCGATCTTACAACACCTAGATTGACCCGTAGTTTACTCTATTGCGCTATAACGCTCAGTATATCACATCATCTCACTGCGAACATATCATGGAACTTACCGAAAATCTATCGAAGATTAATATATTGTGTGCATTAATCGTATAGTCAGAATGCAATCGACAGGTTAATAAAATCAAACAATAGCTGATAAATTACGGGTACTCTGCGTTTTATCCGATCAAAATCGGTTGAGAAACAGCAAAGTTATTGATAAAAAACACCTTTATGCGTGTACCGTACCAGAAAAGTCACGTGGTATGGCCACATTATTTATATCGGTAGTTTATATTTCTTTTATTGTTTGATTTTATTAACTTGTCAATTACGTCAATGCACGCAATATATTAATCTTCGATCGATTTTGAGATGTTCGCTGTTCGACATAATTTAATTAAATTTGTATTTATGAAGTATATGTACTCAGCGTTATAGCGCAATATGGTAAAATACGGTTTTATAATATAAGTGCCCTAAATGGAGTATGTTCAAGACCGCAAAGGTTCATGTTTTTTTTTCTTATTCATATTTTCAATATTATTGAAGATATGCTTATTTTCAAGTTGTTCGTTTTGTTTTATTATGTTATACTTAACTTTGTAAAGTCTATTTCTTTTTAAAGAACACGGTTTCATAATTAATGTTTAAAATTTATTCGGATTAAACTCAATGAATGTCATTTCAATGCCGTAAAACGCAATGCAAATCGATTCCATTAAAAAATACTGCAAAAATAAAGAAAGAGTAGGTCTAAAACAATGGCAACCGTATGGATCGAACCACAGACCTCTCGATTATCAGGCATTCACTTAACCGACTGTGCTATTGTGAGTGTAACGAAGACCTCACATTAAGCTTGTGTGACTTTCAACACATGACTAATATCTTCCATATTAATTTTCGTAAACTAAACGGGCTAGACCAAAGTGGGATCGAGTATTTAAATGAGTGCTATCATGTATTCGTAATTGACAGGTCAATTTAATCATACTATATGTGTTTTGCCCTTGAAAGGTCGGCAGTTGCAATATTTTGTGTTTATAGATTGATTTCTGCCATAGACAGGTTAGCCCAATATTACATGTACTGTTTTATTGGTTTATTGTTGAGAAAGGAAAAAGTCATGACTGGTTGGCTGTAAACATTTTGCACAGCTAATATCATTACTTAAATTTTATGTAATACAATGTGCTTTGTATCACAGTTTTTATTAGGACGCACCTTTTATTGTGTTTTCTTTTTATACATTTTACAGATCTGATTGCTCGAAGGGTCAACCCAGTTCATTTTCAAGGCCCGCAGTTTTCTCCTTGGCTGCTGAATTACAAAATGTCATATTGAAATCCAAAGCTTCTAACACTGTGAAAAAATATCAAAGAGTTTTTGGAAATTGGTGTTTTTGGGCACGGAAACATGGTGTCGAATTTATACCAGCTAGTGATTTTAGTTTGGCATTATATCTCATATCAGATCAGTTATTCAGAGATCAAATTCTCCAGTTTCTGTTGATGAAGTTTATTATTTTGTAAAATAGGCTCATGATTCGACCTTTGGGATTCTACTTGGGTTATATCAATCAAGGAAGCGGCACATAAGATTTTGGGACATTCTGTGTCGAAAAAAGAACTTGCGAATCCTTTAAAGTTAAATAATTTTTATGGCCTAGTTTGGAAGTGAAGATTAAAATTAAATGTTTTTGAGGAATTTATGTATGTGCTTTGTAGCTTATGCAGGGTTTTTACAATTTCCTGGGTTAAACGACCTAAGACAATTATAGTTCTTCAGTTTTTTCCGGTCAAGCAAAGCGGATATGTATCATGAAGGTAAAAAATGTATTATAGCTAGGACTGATAAAGAGACATGTTTTAGAGAGATTTATAGATATGAGTAATATCACGGTTGGTTCTAACGATTTTATTTTCCGTAAATCTAGAAATTCTTATAAATTAAAGGAGTCAATCAATTGTTATATGATAGGGTCAGAACATTGTACTTAACACGTTTTCTGCAATTGGTTTTAGACAAGAAAAAATGGGATTAATAGCCTTCGGTCTGGTGGTGGTACAGCTGCGGCTAACTTATTCCGGACCGTTTGTTTCAGAGACATGGCCGTTGGCGGTTATATTAAAGATGAATTTAGTAAAATTCTTTCAGTGTCAAAAAATTTAGGTAAAAATATGAATATTTGATTACCAATGGTATGATTTGTAAATTGTTTCACTGACTGTTAGACTATTATAAGGTAATTGACTATGTTCCCGTTCATCTGCAGATGCTTCAACATTCAAAATTGTACAAGTGCAAGTTAAATGTTGAATGCTGCTTAAGCCGGTGCTAGGGGGCGTGGACGATAGTTTGCATTTGACAGTACCGTCCATGAACAGGCTCAATCAAACCGAGTTTTCAATTTTGCCTTGTTGGGCTTTCTTTAGGGATTTTTATTTTCTCTGTTCTATTTGCTCAATGTAATAAAACCAATGCAATTGGTCAATTCTAATATGTCTCGTTTGTTATTATGCTTAATAGCTTTTAAAGAGAATAAATATTTCATTTTCAAACGAATTAGAAAATAAATGTATTTTTTCTTGATACAACTATTGAACAATGTTGTAATGTAGTAACTGTGTACATATTGTCTTGCATGATATTTTCGTGCATCAACTAAGCGTATAAGATTACTATAAACTTATCAAAAGGCTTATAAAATCACTCGAGGTAACTGTATTGCTTTGTTTACATGTTTATTTTTCCATCCCATCCCTCCCACCCCAAAAAGAAGAAGCTCATTTTGATGGATTATATTAAACAGGTGATGCTTTCATTCAAGTTATATGGAGTGCGAAGAGGCATGATTTATTTTTGAATTTATTCCTGTACTTTCCGATCTAAAAAAGCAATACAATTGGCTAATCTCTTCGTTTATTATGCTTAATAGCTTTTAAATAAAATAAATAATTTATTTTCGTTGGAGCAAGCTAATTCTTCAATACAAGTTGAAACATGAGAGCAAAATAAATCGTATACTTTACCGATATTTCGAAGTCTAGCAATTTCGTGGAAATGATATATTGTGTACTATCGCTGTCCGGTGATATCTTGTCAAAAACAAATGGATACGAATAAGTGTCTTCTAAATCCATTTTAACAAAAATAAACTCGCATTTATCGTCCGTGTCTGTAAAATATACCCCTCTGCTACTTTTTATCTATTGTGTGTTTTATAGTTTACAACCGTGTGAATTACAAGTTATTTTCCAAAAATGAAGAATCTATATATAGATCACAATTCAACCATTTTTAGGTAGGTATAAACGCAAAACGCCATTAACAATAGCATAATCACATAAATATATATTGATTGATTTATGTTTAAAAAGTTATTTCAGTATTTGAAATAACATCAAAATTTAAAGATTCAAGTGTTTAATAATTGTATAAAGTCACATGTATATCATATTGCACCATATATCTTGGTAGTCAACAAGAACATTTTTATAAAATTATATTTACTGCGTGTAGTATCATATTCACTAGCTGAAATGGATTTTCCCAGGCTAAAAATAGATTGAGGATAATACACCGTAGACTGTTAATTACGCGTGCTAATTAAAATATAATTGTTGCTTTTTGTTCTTTATGGCATATTTCTCGATTAAAATATCATTGCTTCACTATTATATTTAATATTTAATCACCTCGGTCAATATGTCATCTGCCGGTGAATATCACATCATATTCAATGGCTCACTAGTTAATAATTGTGTAATATTCGTTGAAGTGTCAGACGTGCACCAACTACGCAAGTTCATAGTAAACTTTAACTATAATAGTATCATAATATAATTGCCACGCACTTCTTATCAGAATTGATATGTTGTCATTAACTCTGACATTTATAGTGTTGATGATTAAATAAGCAGGGAGGAATGCGTGACGGATATTGTACATTCAATAATATACAATTATTGACTAGTGAGCCATTAAATATGATGAGATATTCACCGGCAAATGACATACCGGCATATGACATATTGACCGAGGCGATAGCCGAGGTCAATATGACTTTCTGCCGGTGAATATCACATGATATTCAATGGCTCACTAGTCAATAATTGTTTTATTATATGAATAGGCTTAGAATTAAAAAAAAAACACAAAATGTACATTACAATTTTTTGCCTTGTTGAAGCGCGCGAAAATGACGCACGTGTTAGGCGTGCAACGACTACTCGAACGCTGCGCATTCAAAAGTAATTCAAGTTTATACCCATCGTTGCGGATTAACCTTTAAGTATAATAGTAAAGTAATGATATTTTAATCGAGAAATATGCCATAAAGAACAAAACACAACATTTATTTTTTAATTAACACGCGTAATTAACAGTCTACGGTGTATTGTCATTGAATATGGGTCTCAATCTACTTTTTAGACTGGGAAAATCCAATTCAGCCAGTGAATATGATACTACACCCAGTGAATATGATTTTATAAAAAGTTCCGTCGACTACTCTTTGGACCAATGAGATTGCAGCTATATTTAGATCATATAATAATATCTTATAACAACTGTGTGTGTTTTTGTGTGTTTGGTTTTGTTTTTTTGTTTTTTTGGGGGGGTTTTTGGTTATTGTTTGTGCAAAACTGAATTACTTATTATTTTGTAGGTAACCGTGTACGATTTGCCCTATTCAAATTAGATTAATCATTTTCGTACATATAAAAATGATAAAAACATAATTTAAAACATCTAGATCTTTTCCCCATCGAACAACGATGGGAGATGCCTGACAAAGTAGGAAGGGACGACGAGGAAAACTACTACATTGTATATTGTTGTCGGCAAATTTCAATTTACACCTTAATTATTTTGATTTTGACAATTATATGAAACGATTTATCTTAAAAAATTATATTAATCATTTTCGTACATATAAAAATGATAAAAACATAATTTTAAACATCTAGATCTCTTCCCCATCGAACAACTATGGGAGATGCCTGACAAAGTAGTAAGGGACGACGAGGAAAACTACTACACTGTATCTATTGTTGTCGGCAAATTTCAATTTACACCTTAATTCCTTTGATTTTGACAAATCTGAAAATAACATATTTAACCTTTAGAAAAGCTGAAGGCCGCTTAAAACATAGACTACTGACAGCCGTAGGTTTTCTCATTCAGATTAATGGATCTGATACATTTTATTCTCCTCTGAACAGGCTTCATTCTTATTTTTAATGTATACATATTTTCATATTCATTCAGTTTCAATTGTAAACTGTGTTTCTGTTACCACCAAGCTTCCACAAATTCATCTGCACTTGCATCCCAGTACATTTCTCTCTGATTCCAAGGATCATCACTATAATCATCATGGTAGTAATCATAATCATGATAATCACTATAAACATCAGATTCTTCATCGTAAAAACTGTTGGTCATAATTATGTTTCTTTGTCCCAAGTCTTCCTCTTTTCTGATAATTTCAGCTTCCTTTTCCCAGGCATCAGGGTCACAATGTGGGCACATAATGTGACATAATGCCTTTGTCCGTTCGACATAAGCACACACTGTTGGTTCAAAGTAAGGATTGTTCATTCTTTTCAATTTAAGTGTATGCCAATCTTGGAAAGAAGATTGTTCCTTGCTTTTATAGCTGATACGTGCATATCGCCCGTTCAATTCTACCAAATTATCAGAAATAAATACGTATTTAAAGGCTCCCTGTGGATAAAGTGTCAAATTTGGACATTGCCTTTCCTCTACAGTGTAGGCATCTGAATCTTTATTTAATGACAATAACATAAATGACATTCCAGTAACAACGAGAATTTTATCATGCACTGGCAATAAACATTTAACAGAGGACTGCTTGCTCAAATAGCCCATAGCTTTGGTCCTCATTAATTTGTAGATTAATTTCTGTCATTTTGTTTGTTTGAAGATTAAAGCAGTACAATTTTCTCCTCTTTGAATATGTAGTTGTGGACATCAGAATCATTGATTGATTGTAACACACACAGCTAACTTTAAATGATAATGTCATGAACGGTTCAACATTAAGAACATCTGCATTTTTGCTAACCATCTGGTATACTACTGACCCCCGTGTAAATTTGTGAACTTTTCTCTGATACCGTAAACTTCCATCATCGTATACTCCCGTCGATATGAATACTAAGCTTGTGCTTGTTTCTAAGATATGGCTTATGTTTTCAGGATACTTCCCCTTCCAGACAATGCGTTTCTCTGTTATAACTCCGTCATTTACGTCATATGTAAATATTCGCCGTTTCGATGGATTGAAGAATAACAGTTTTCCGGTGGATTTCACACATTGGACGCTAGTAGTTTCCATTATTTTATTAGGAAAGTTAAATCGGTACAGTTGTTTGTCTTCAAGACTCAACCCAACAACGTTTGATCTTGTGCGATCATCGCCCAGAATAAAAACAAACGGCAATGATGCATCTTGTCTGTAACATAGATGTTGATTTACCTGTTGCAAACATGTGATTGACATTCCTACAAGGGAGTCTTTTTTAACAATGTCATCGAGGTAATATTTGTCCATTTTATAGAAATCTAAGAACTCAAACCATTTCTCAAAGTAGTTATTACTTCTGTTAGCTCTACACCAATTTCTTATGAACATAAATCTGCGTGTCATCGGCCAGTAGGAAAGTTCTTCATCAGTAAGAAGAAGTTCCACAGACTCTGGGTCAATCTTTAAAATATCTGCTTCTTCACATAATTCATTGAGATGTCCTCGAATATATTAATCTATACGTTCATGTTGAAAACCGTATAAGGTGCAGGCATGGAGTATCTTGTAAAAGTTGTATTTTGTAATCGCAAGATTTGATATACGGTATTTACAATAAACATATAGATCACTAACTTGTAGCATATCTGCTAAACGAATCATTCCAAACAAGTCATCTGGTTTGATCTCTATGAAGCGACCCTTCATATAATCCATGATCATTTTTATTCTTCTTTCGTTGCTGGAGAATCTGTAAAATAGGCTCATGATTCGACCTTTGGGATTCTACTTGGGCTATATCAATCAAGGAAGCGGCACATAAGATTTTGGGACATTCTGTGTCGAAAAAAGAACTTGCGAATCCTTTAAAGTTAAATAATTTTTATGGCCTAGTTTGGAAGTGAAGATTAAAATTAAATGTTTTTGAGGAATTTATGTATGTGCTTTGTAGCTTATGCAGGGTTTTTACAATTTCCTGGGTTAAACGACCTAAGACAATTATAGTTCTTCAGTTTTTTCCGGTCAAGCAAAGCGGATATGTATCATGAAGGTAAAAAATGTATTATAGCTAGGACTGATAAAGAGACATGTTTTAGTGAGATTTATAGATATGAGTAATATCACGGTTGGTTCTAACGATTTTATTTTCCGTAAATCCTGAAATTCTTATAAATTAAAGGAGTCAATCAATTGTTATATGATAGGATCAGAACATTGTACTTAACACGTTTTCTGCAATTGGTTTTAGACAAGAAAAAATGGGATTAATAGCCTTCGGTCTGGTGGTGGTACAGCTGCGGCTAACTTATTCCGGACCGTTTGTTTCAGAGACATGGCCGTTGGCGGTTATATTAAAGATGAATTTAGTAAAATTCTTTTAGTGTCAAAAAATTGAGGTAAAAATATGAATATTTGATTACCAATGGTATGATTTGTAAATTGTTTCACTGACTGTTAGACTATTATAAGGTAATTGACTATGTTCCCGTTCATCTACAGATGCTTCAACATTCAAAATTGTACAAGTACAAGTTAAATGTTGAATTCTGCTTAAGCCGGTGCTAGGGGGCGTGGACGATAGTTTGCATTTGACAGTACCGTCCATGAACAGGCTCAATCAAACCGAGTTTTCAATTTTGCCGTGTTGGGCTTTCTTTAGGGATTCTTATTTTCTCTGTTCTATTTGCTCAATATAATAAAACCAATGCAATTGGCCAATTCTTATATTTCTCGTTTGTTATTATGCTTAATAGCTTTTAAAGAGAATAAATATTTCATTTTCAAGCGAATTAGAAAATAAATGTATTTTTTCTTGATACAACTATTGAACAATGTTGTAATGTAGTAACTGTGTACATATTGTCTTGCATGATATTTTCGTGCATCAACTAAGCGTATAAGATTACTATAAACTTATCAAAAGGCTTATAAAATCACTCGAGGTAACTGTATTGCTTTGTTTACATGTTTATTTTTCCATCCCATCCTCCCACCCCAAAAAGAAGAAGCTCATTTTGATGGATTATATTAAACAGGTGATGCTTTCATTCAAGTTATATGGAGTGCGAAGAGGCATGATTTATTTTTGAATTTATTCCTGTACTTTCCGATCTAAAAAAGCAATACAATTGGCTAATCTCTTCGTTTATTATGCTTAATAGCTTTTAAATAAAATAAATAATTTATTTTCGTTGGAGC